AAATGAATAGACTACAATCGAACGAATGACTATGAATGATAGATAAGATAGAGAGAGAAAAAGAGAGAGAGAGAGAGAGAGAGAGAGAGTGAATGAACGAACAAACTAATTAATTCAATCATAAATACATATGAATATTCATGATCGTGGCTAACAGTCGAACGCAGCTTCAGACGACGTTGAACCGTCAATACTTAGAAGTACTGTTGTCGGCATCCCAGACATTCTTTACTAATTAATATTCATGAGGTGTAATTGCAGTTAATGACGTGCAGTTAATATTAATGAGAAGTATCTAGCATGAACATGAGTAAATAATATGAATCTACGGGTGAATGATTGAATGGATAAATAAAACAATAAATCAACAAATCAAAGATTCAATAAATGAATGAATGAACGAACGAACAAATGAATCAATGAATGAACGAATGAATGAATGAAAAATTGAAGTATCAGTGGCAAAAACAATAGATTTATTAGTAGTAGTCAGATAGTAAGCAGTAGCAGTAGTTATATACCAACAATAAAATGTGCTGTATAATGAAGATAAGTAGAGCATTAAACGTAGAGTTTATAGTAAGTCGGCAGCCACAGTAGTAGTAGTAGTAGTAGTAGTAGTAGTAGTAGTAGTAGTAATATAGTAGTAGTAGTAGTAGTAGTAGTAGTAGTAGTAGTAGTAGTAGTAGTGGCTGTAGTGGCTGTAGTGGTTTTAGTAGCAGAAGCAGCAGAAGTAGTATTCTGTGGAAAACTAATACAACTAAAATTAACATTTAGACAAAAAATCTTGACTTTCAATAATGAAAATGAAAATCACTTAGCATATTTCAGACAAACAAAACAGATGAATAAATTAGCATAGATTTAACATAAATTAAAGTAATCCATCTTATGACATTAATAATACAATACATAAAATACCAATTCCAAATTTAAAGAAAAAGCCAACAAATCACCAACCCGTTGAATTCAAATCGTCGTTAGAGCAATTCTAAGCAGAATTCGTAAATGAAAACAGCAAATGAAAACAAAACAATAATAAAGATAAACTAAGCATGGGCTGACATATAAATAAATAAATTTAACAGAAATATCGGAGCTTCAGGAAAAGTTTGAAGAACAAATCCTAGAAAAATTGGTCTATGTCACTTTATATATATATATATATATATATATATATATATTTTTTGGCATATATAAATATATAGATATATATATTTAGAATGTATATATTTTATATATATGGTTACAACATACACATATAAGTTTGTAACATGTTTTGGTTTTCAGACATATTAGCTATTGTAATGCGTGTAATATGTTGCAGACATATATATGTGTGTGTACACATATATAATACACACACACAAACACACACACACAAACACATAACTCGTTTGTGTAAATCATGAAATTATAGTCATGTGCTATTTAGTCTTGAAAAATCACCTTCGTCATCATGACGGCCATGCATGTTCATCGTAGTATATGATCACCGTATTATTATTGTCAGTTCTCATTTTTTGGGTTATCATCAACTGTATCATGAACCACAATAGTAATAACAATAACAACAATAATAACAATAACAATAATTATAATAATAATAAAGCAAATCATAATCATCTACCAGAGAAATTGTATCTTATTCAAAGCCATCCAAAGTTTAAGTCATAACGAATAATGATAACAACAATAATAATAACAACAACAACAACAATTATAATAATAATTATGCCAATGCTCTGACTTGTGGATATTTGTCTTAACTAATAATAATAATAATAATAGTAATAATAATAATAATAATAATTAAAATGTTTTTTTTGACATTTCGTTATAATATTATTGATATTTTTTGCTATCATTATTGTTGTTATTATTACTGTTATTTGAAATGTCATTGTCAGATATAAATGTAAAAAAGTAATTTTATTATTATTGATATTTTTATTTTTTTTATTATTATTATTCTTTAAAAATCAGGATCTGACAGACGCAGAAACTGTAACAACATGCAAGGCAGTAGAACAAAATAAAACAAATAAGTGAGAAAATAAATACAAAAAGTGAGGAAGAAAAATGAAAAAATAAAATATGTTAGAATAAAATAAATAATAATAATAAGTAAAAGAAAAGAAAAGTAATTGACGATGGAATATAAAATGAAGTAACGGCAAATTGATAGACTAGATGATGACTTAGTGAGTTAATGAGGTGATCAATAAATAAAGATAAGGCCTGTGAGTGAAAAAGACTTATTAATAGACTAAATTATTTGTTGTTATTCATCTCTCTAACTATTCCAGGTCATTTTTTTGGGTTGTAATAAAATTTTTAAGTGAAATGTTCTTATTTATAATACGAAAATTAGTAATTGTGTTTATAAAATCTAAAATTCAACACAAGGTACTGAATGAATAATGATCACTTAAGCCTTTTCCACCATGGATATATATCTATGTTTTCCACAATCGCTTTTTTGTCTTTGCTAATATAAAATATTCATAGTTGAGGTTTACTTTTAATATAAAATCTATTATCGTTATGAAAATAAATATATAATAAAATAAAATTTTCGCCTTTTTTCTTTACTTAATTTTAGTTTTTCTTATATAAAAACGTGTAATTTTAGTTATTAGAAATTTTTTTAATCATGAATAAAAAACCGTCGACTAATCGCAGCAAAGCTCCATGTAACAACCGCAACGACGACGACGATGATGATGGCGACACATGTGTTAGTAGAAAAAATTATAATAAACCACCGTCGACAAATCAAAATTCAATAAATAATATTATTCACGGGGAAATTGCTTCATCTATCGTTGAATCTCCAAAAAAACGAAATCCGAAACCTGAAATTGAAGATCCACCATTAACAGTAGACGGAGTTGAAGAAGATGATGAGAAAAAATTTTTAAAAAATTCTTCGGTGCCAGGCAGCAGAATTTCTAATATCGTCCGAAGAATTCGAAATCAAAAGCCAATCAACTATAGCCAGTTGGTGAATGGCGTTGATGACGTTTGTGATGATAGTGCAGAAAGTGTTGCTGTAGTTGTAGCCAAAGAAACTACGACAACCAAAAGATCAAGAAAAAGAAATTTGAAAAGTGGCAAACCTCTGAAATACATTGAAGAAGAGGATCATGGTGGTGATGACGGAGCCTGCTCGGTCAACAACAGCATCGACTTCAACTACATAGATAACTACATCAACAACAACAATGATGACGTCGACAACAATGACTCTTACTACAATAATAACAACCTCACCAACATTATTTCAATTGATGCCACGAGCAACAACAACAACAGCAACAATAATGAAACAATTTCAACCAAAAAAACTAGAAGAAAGTCAAGTCAGAAAGTTAATGTCACTGATGACATAACTACTGCTGTTGCTAATTCTGTTTTTGCTAAGAAAACTAAAAAAGTTACTTTTCTTTTTTCTAATCTCAATGATGTAACATTCATTACAACAAAATCTAGTTTACTGTTTTTCTATACAAAGTTCAAAATGTATTACTATTGCATTACAGATTACATTACATGAATACAATTTTTTGGAAGATTGAGCTTTTCATCAATTTGATTTAATTTCTCTCTTTCTCTCTCTCTTTCTCTCTCTCTCTCTCTCTCTCTCTTTCTTTCTCTCTCTTTCTTTCTTTCTCTTTTTCTTTCTCTTTTTCTCTTTCTTTCTCTCTCTCTCTCTCTCTCTCTCACACACACACACACATACACACTTTTAATTTAATTAAAGTTAGTAAAAGTAGAAAAAACTATGTGTTTCCTGAGCAAGTTCTCCAAATAAGACAATAGATAAGACATTATTAGATAGCCGATGGACAAGCAGTGCCACATAACATACCTGCCTTTTGTTACATCTCATTACGTGTTAACCTCTTTTTTTTATTTCTCTTCAAGGTCTACAAGAAGAAAGTCTTTTATGATGTCATTGACATGGAAACTTTCAAAAGGTTTAATTTGTGTGTTTTTTTGTAGATAGTAATGCAGTTCCATGCGTAAAGAGAGCTTGGCGACAGGCTTGAGAACAATTCTTTTTGCATGCTTGCATATGGAGCCGAAAAATCTTTTTTATCATCCGGAATACTTTTCCTGGTTGTTAAGACGAAAGCGTAATTACATTTCACTTAATAATAATAATAATAATAATAAACAGTAATAATAATAATTATAATCATAATAATAATAAACCGTAATAACAATAATTATAATCATAATAATAATCAGTAATAAGGTGAAGCAAGAAGAGGAGGAAAATGACCGATCCTTGATGAATATCTCAGAGAGTGGACGACACAGAAGGAAGGCTGCCGTCAGGTCGGTCACCACCATGGTGATGATGGCAATGATGATGATGATGATGTTAAGAGCGATGATGATGATAAGGATGATGATGATGTTAAAGATGATGAGAATGATTTTGAGGATGGTGGTGATGATAATGATGCTGATTGTCAAAATAACGCAGATAATGTGTGATTATGATGGTGTTGATGATGATAATGTTGCTGTTGACGACGACGATGAAGAGGATGATGATGATGATGGTGATGATTTTCTTTCCTTCCCAGGGCAAGAATTAATGTTGTCGATTTAGCTGGCGGCAGTTATGACGACGATGTCGATAATGATGATAATGATATATCTTCAAAGGTTTGTGATGATGATGATGATGATGATGATGATGATGATGATGATGGTAGTGATGGTGGGAATGATGATGATGCACACGACCCCACACCAACTCAGAGAAAGAAATCAAGACTGAATGACAGCTACTCGGCAGTTGCTACTGAGACTATTGATGATGATAAGGAAGATGATGAGGTCAATTTCTGCAATGATGATGACGACGACGACGATGATTACGTTGGAGGGGTCAACAACAACAACAATGATGATGATGAGGGGGTTGGTGGTGATGATGAGGGGGAAGACGAAGAGGACGAGTATAAGGAAAATGGTGATGAAGACGACGACGACGATGAAGATGGTGGAAGGAAGTGGAAAAAGAATAAAAACGTCAACAAATTAGGGAAGGACAGATTCTATTGGGGTTTGTGGTTTGAAGGATTGACAGATTGAATGAGTGAGTGATTAATTGATTGACTGGCCTGCTTGGCTGGTTGATTGATTGATTGATTGATTGATATGAAAGTTTTTTTGAAATGATATGAAAACTAACTCGCAAAATAGAAAAAAAATCATCCCTTTTTGTAGAGAAATCCACCATTGATTACGTGCAAGAGCATTTCAGTAGACTCTCAACGCTGAGCGTTAAGCCTGATTGGATGCCTATGATTACATCTTATAGGAAGATTCCTAACGGGTTAGGAGTTTGTTGACGTTGCGGTACATGTTAAGTTAAAGATTCGTCATTCATTCGTTTATTCATTCATTCGTTCGTTCATTTTTTTTACTCACTTATTCATTTGTTTACTCATTCGGTTATCCATCAGGCCATCTTTCCACTCATTCATTCATTCTTTCATTCAAACTTTCCATCCTTCTTTCACTCATCTCTTCAACTGCCAGCCAAAACAGAGACTACCTACCGATGGATCAGAAGGTCCGATTCACCATCCTCACGGAGCAGCCGTTCCCATCGTCATCATCGTCGTCACCATCATCGTCATCGTCGTTCAAGAGATTAAGTCTATTCAAATGTTACGCTAATAAGAGTTAGTCACTGATGATGATGGTGAGGAGGAAGAGGATGATGATGATGCTGATTGTGATGATGATGATTTTGATGATGATAATGATGCTGATTGAGATGATGATGATTTTGATGATGATTATGATGATAATGATGCTGTTTGTGATGATGATGGTTAGGACGATGATGATGATGATTGTGATAATGATGGTTATGATGATGATGTTGGTTGGCATGGCGATTTTAGGTAATGGAGTTGATTTTGTTGAATAGAACTTAAGCCCTTTTCTTGTTCGTTAGTTCACCTATTAACACATTCAATCAATTAGTCGTTCTTTCATTTGCTCATTCATTCATTCATTCATTCATTCATTCATTCATTCATTCATTCATTTGTTCGTTGATTCTTTCATTTATTCATTCACTCATTCCTTTATACATTCATTCATTCATCCATTTATACGTTCATTCATTCTCAGACTCCTTCACAATTAACGTTGGTGGCCCCATATGGGCCATGGATTGGTGTCCAAATAGGAACAACAGCAACAACAACAACAATAATAATAATAATAACAATAGAAACAACAACAATAATAATAAAAAGTCTAGTCACAAGCACCACCACCACAATGGCAATCACAGCCACCATCAAGGTGACGATGACGATGAAGGTGATGATGATGATGATGAGGAGGAGGAGGAGGAGGAAGAAGACGACGAATACATCGCCATATATACCCACCAGTATCCCAATGAAACTTACACCTCATCATTATCAAACCCGACGGCTTCATCGGCCTCATTTTTGTCATCGTCCTTACAGCAGCCATCATCGTCGTCGTCGTCTTCGAAGCCATGTTTGATCCAGCTCTGGCAGCTGAATTTGAATAAGAGGAGGTTATTATCATTATTATTATCATTATTATTATTATTGTTATTCTTCTTCTTATTATTATTATTATTATTACATTGTTACGTATTTACCTACGTTCGTCATCATCATCGTCATAATCTTCACCATAATCATTTCAGTCAACGTTATCATAATCATCATCATCATCGTCGTCATCATCATCTTCATCATCATCGTCGTCGTCATCGTCATCATTATTAGGCCAGCCGAACTGTCCAGTCTAGTACTTGTGAGAGATGGACCGATATGGCAGTTGAAGTGGGCACCTGGGGGTTGCTCATGGTCGCCCCGTCATCCCCCTAATGGTGGTGAGGATGGCGACGGTGGTGGCGACTATAAGGTTGGGGATAAATGAAGATTGTTAGATGCTTATTGTGATGATAATTGTGATGTGGTAAAATATCGATGAAAGCTTCTTCTTTTATAATGAAAATTCACTTGATTAATTAACTTGATTTGACTGAATTATTAGCTGGCTGATTGATTAATTAATCATTTGATTGATTAATTGACTGACTGATTGATTGATTGATTGATTGATTGATTGATTGATTGATTGATTGATTGATTGATTGATTGATTGATTGATTGATTGATTGATTGATTGATTGATTGATTGATTGATTCAGTGCCAACCCCGTCTTGGCCTGCTAGCAGCAGCATGTCACGATGGATCTATAAAAATTTTCAGGTAGATGACGATAACGATAATGATGATGTAATGATAATAGTAACGATAATGACATTGATAATGATGACGTTGATGATGGTGATTATGATGGTGATGATGACCGAGCAATAAGTCGTTGTTGGTGTACAATGGATAATAGCATTACATATATCATACATTTCGTATTCCAGCATTCCAAGGCACAGGAAACCAGCCGACGAAGTCGACAGTACTGATAATGATATCAACGACGACGACGATGATGATGATAAAGATGATAGTGCTGATAATGATCGGCAAAACGATGCTGATGGTGATGATGATAGATGTGATGATTTTAATATCATTGAATTGACGCCAGTAGCAGAGTTGAGGCAGACTGGACTGAATGGTTGGTTGGTCACACTACTACCATCATGATCGTCATCATCATCATCATCGTCATCATCATTATTATTATTATTATTGTGGTGGTTAAAATTTTTTTATTATTGTTGTTATTGCCGTCATCATCATCATCATCATCATCAGTTGCTTCGTGTTGCTGTCTCGATTGGAATTTGAATGGATCCTTTCCCATACTGGCTGGCGGATTTGCTGACGGTTTGTCGTCGTCATCATTTTCATTATCATTATCATTCGCGTAGTCGAATTCATTATCATTATCGACAAAATCGTCATCATTTTTATCACTACCACCTACCTACTACTCATCATCATCATCACCACCAATCATTATCATCGTCACCAATCATCATCATCGTCACCAATCATCATCACCATCATCACCAATCATCATCATCACCATCATCACCATCATTATCATCGTCACCATCATCATCATCGTCACCAATCATCATCATCGTCACCAATCATCATCATCGTCACCAATCATCATCACCATCATCACCAATCATCATCATCACCATCATCACCAATCATTATCATCGTCACCATCATCAAAGGTACAACGAGCCTATGGAACTTGAACACTAAATCAAAACTCCTGACAAACAAACACAGCAGTAATAATGATAATGACAATAATAACAATAATGAGGACGACGATGACGATTCGCCAGTCATCATATTGCCATTTAAAACGTTCAAAGCTCACACATCTGTGGTTACCGCGTTAACGTTCAGCCCACCGTTGCCATCTTCATCGTCGTCGTCTTCGTCATCTTCATCGTCGTCTTCATCATCGTCAGTGGAGTTGATAGTAACGTTCGGCCAGGATCGGTGGGTTGGGTTTTTCTTCTCATTATCATTACACATACCATCATCCTAATTTACGTCATCTCTATCACCGCCTCATTCATCGTCGTTATGACGTCATCATCGCTACCGCCATATTGCCTAGGGTGATGAAGATATGGCCTGTCTGGGGGCCCAGCCTACCTCTGATGACCTTCAAGACGAACAAGGTCACGAAATCAATATGGCCGCCAGTGGACAGAATCAGGTTTTATGCCGGCACTGATGAGGCTTGCGCGTAAGTACTGATGATGAAGTTGATGAAGGTGATGATGATGATGATGATGAAAGTGATGATGATGATGACAGTGATGATTATTTTCACAAATCATCATCTTTATTACAATCAATAACCTCCATTGTACTTACTCACAAGACCATCATCATCGCTTATCAGTTATGATCATCATCTTCGTCATCTTCATCATCTTCCTCATCGTCATCATATTCATCGTCATCATCATCATCATCCTCACTATCATCATCATCACCATCTCCACTCAGGTTCAACAGGAGCAGTGCTTCTTGTTACATATTCAACGACGGCAAGGTCAGCCAGTGTGTGCAGACCATTCACAATGCTACCGTCTGGGTACTTTGAATGAATGCATGAATGAATGAATAGATGAATGATTTAATAAATGAATGAATGAACGAATGAATGAATGAACGAATGAATGAATGGATCAATGAATGAATGAATAAATAACTGACCGCCAGTTGAATAATTTAGTAAATGAACTAAGGAGAGATTGTTAAAATGAATAAAGGAATGAAGGATGAATGAATGAATGAACGAATAGATGAACGATTGACAAAATAAATAGATGAATGAATAAATGAACGAATGAACGAACCAATAAAGGACATCTCGTACTCTGATTGGACGGATATAATTAGCAGTTGTGATAATGCCGGGTGCGTTCAACTCTGCCAGGCTACCTGCCACAAGATGAAGAGTCTGTTTGGCTGTAGAAAGGTTACCTTTGTTTGTTTGTGTGTATGTATGTTTGTTTATTGCTTTGTTTGTATGTAAGTGTGTGTGTGTGTATATGCATGTATGTATGTATGTATGTTAAAACCAATTCAGCGATGAGTGACACTAAACAGTCAAACATCTGAATAAAATCGGTTAACAATTGATATCTCGTTATTCGCTCACGTCGGCGTTTAATTGAACATTTTCGGTAACACAGACGTAATACAGATGTATGTATGTATGTCCTGGTTATGACATTAAACTGACCCTCACTGCCTTGTGAGTGATGTTGGATCATCAAAGGCTAGGCCCACCGCTTATAATTGTGGTTGCGTAAGGAAGGGCGTCCTGCGTAAAAATTAGCCAAATAAATTACTTATGATGGAATGGCGTCGAGGGGTATTTCGGTTTCATCATAGGTAGCCAAACGGCAACCCCCGATCTCGGGGAAAATGTCGTCTAAACGTGTGTTGTTGTTGTTGTATGTATGTATGTATGTGTGTGTATGTATATATGTATGTATGTATGTATGTATGTATGTATGTATGTATGTATGTATGTATGTGTGTATGTATGTGTGTATGTGTGTATGTATGTATGTATGTATGTATGTATGTATGTATGTATGTATGTATGTATGTATGTATGTATGTATGTATGTAAAACATTGATAGGTACTCTGTATGATGGAGTTGGCCGATTGTGAATATGACGTCAACGTCAGTGTAAACAACAACAACGACAACAGTAACAACAACAGTACCACCAAAAAAAACAACAAAAAGAAAAATCGAACGAGCCTGGAGAATCCAAGCAAGCAGCAACAACAGCAACCGCCACAATCGCAACCACAATCGCAACAGCCAATCAAAAACTGCCAGTGTATAAATAGATTTCTCGGGGAAAACCGACCTCAGCTTGCCGGGGAATTCCCGATCACGTGCTGCTGTGGCTTGAGATTCGTTATCAAAGATTATAGCAAGGTAAGGGTTCTTTCTAATCACTGTGATTTACCATTATAATCATTATAATTACCGCTGTTGTTGTTACGTCATGATGACGTCATCGTCTTGCTCCTTTTAGAAGTGGCAGTGGAAGCAGTACGTGAAGGTACCGAAGGATCTCCCGTTCGATGACGTCATTAAGAATCCATATTGTGCGTTCCATAAGGTCTGTAACTTTATTTCATCCATTCGTTTTTTTTCGTTCATTCACTCGTTCATGTTTTTTTTATTTTTTATTCGTGTATTACTTCATTCATTAGTTTACGTCTATTAATTTATGCATCAAACAAACAAACAAACAACCAGTCAGTCAATATATCAACCAACCAGCCAATCAATCCACCAACAAATCAACCAACAAATCAACCAGTCAACCAACCAATCAAACAAACCAATTGCAGATATGCTTCAACCCAAACAAATCGTCCCATCCATCTATCGCGTTTGGGGGAATGAATGGATTGCTGAGGATAAGAAAGCTGAATGATATCCTATTTGACAATGGGATATTTTAATCGGATAAATAAATAAATAGATATATTTGGATACATTTGATTGTTAAGATACGTAGATGTTGATTGTTAAGATACATAGATGTTTGGATATCTATATTTTATTTGAAATGTTTCAATCGATAGATACATTTCGATTGACTGATTGATTGATTGATTGATTGATTGATTTGATTGATTGATTGATTGATTGATTGATTGATTGATTGATTGATTGATTGATTGATTGATTGATTGATTGATTGATTGATTGATTGATTGATTGATTGATTGATTGATTGATTGATTGATTGATTGATTGATTGATTGATTGATTGATACGTTTGGATAGATACATTTGGATGAATATATTTAGATAGATATTTTGTTAGATACATTTGGATAGATGTGTTTTCTATGGATATATTTGTATAGATATGTTTTGGACAGATATATTTGATTATTAACGAAGTTTATGTATATTTTGTTTAAATATTTCTATATATTGTATGAATTTTACTAAATATGTGTGTGTGTGTGTGTATACATATATATATATGTGTATATATATGGCTTGAATTCTACCGAATTTTTAGCATTAATCAATTTAAAGTTTATCTTTTAAATTCTCTTTGCTAGAATTTTCTATAGTTGGGTTGTTTAGTTAAGAATGATAGAAGGAATGATAGAGTTAATGACAAACAAACTATTAATTTTTGGTACCCTGCTATTTTTTTAGTAACTTAAATTTGTCATCAATGTCATTGACTGTTTTTTCCCAACTATAATTTATTTTATATAAAAATGATTATAGCTATGAGCTTAATTATGATTAAGCATTTATGATAATTTATAAAAATTATGAGGAATATTATTGTTAATTATTCATTATTGTTGATTTTTACTTTTGAAAGAAAGATTGAGGCGTATGTATGAAATACACACATGTACGAAATCCGTGTTGGGCTTTTGAATCTTATTTCTACCCATCTAACTACATTTTTTAATTATTCTAACTTAACTAATTAATTAATCAATTACTTAATTAATTAGTTACACCAATTATTAGTCCTGAAACTTCTATATATTATTATGTAGATGATAATTTAGGTTAGGAGGTATAAGTAAATATAATATAGGTTGTATATATTGAAATGTGTTAGAGTAGGTGTGTAACTCTAATGATAGTTAAGTTATAAAAGTAGTTTACAACGGGAAAGCAAATTTACAGACATAAAGCAGCTTAATATAAGATAATATAACGTATAATTCATTAGAGCATATAATACTTTGTATAATAAGAATGAGATGACATACAATAGGGACTGACTGGTTAGTAGGAGTGAGACAGTTGTCTCACTCCTCTAAGCTCAGGTAGAGAGCAAGGTCTCCTAGTATATTATAGGCGAGCACACAAGTTAAGGAGTTAAGTTGAAAGTTATCTTAGTAGGAGTTGTCTCTTAGTTAAGTTAGAGTTATCTCTTTAACACGCTTAAAGCTCTTGAACACTACTTTTACACATTATTTGCGTTACTCTTTATATTTTAATTCTAAGTTTTGTTATTTTATTTCAATCAAACAATAAAAAATATTATTAGCAATAATAATGAGTGAGTCGTTTCTCGTTCGATTTCGATTGTTAAACTTTATAACATTTTAAACACTAATACTCAACACGCGCCATCTCTCATTATTTTATGTGCACGAACAATATCGAGTTATTTAGCGTTGAGCGAGCGAGTTTATAGAAACAGAAAAATTTTTCCCAAGAGCAAACTATGTTGTTCGTTCAGTAACCGTCATTGAACGGTTAAGGGCGGACAATATAACAATGTCTTATATGTACGCATCACAATGAAAAAGGTCGTTTCCATCTAACTAACTCTTTCACAAACATTTTCTAATTTAAATTAAATTTATTTCGTTTAATTGTAATTATAAGGTTTTAATCGAGTTTTAGTAATTGAGTAGTACTAAATAAGTATATTAATTAATTTTAAATAAAGAGACAACAACGAGGTCATTTTCATTGCGTTGTTGATCTTAAAACTGAAAACAACTGACATTAATTTAATTAAAAAATTAATTGAATCAAACTAGATAAATAATTGACAAAATTAATTTCACAAATGAATTAATTAACTAATTTAGTTTAATTAAATTGAATTAAGTTTAAGCATTGAAACATCTCTCAAAAAAATTTAACGTGTAACATGAATTGCACGAAGATAATGTTAAAATTGGATAAATGGGCTGGATAAAACTCGAAAATACTATATTAATACTACCTCGCTACTATCATAATAATAGTATAATTGCCACTTTACTTAATTATAATTATGTCATAATAATTTATTCATAATTTTTTATTATAAATTACTCTCAATATTACGGCGGGGGGGTTATAATATTGAGAGTAATTTTTTTTTTCAATTATATTTTAGAATTACGAATTTGGAACTGAACATTTGAGTAAGGCATATCTGAGTGTAATTATTTTCATGGGTCGCTTTATAATTATTAATATTATTTATATTATTATAGTAATATTATTATCTTGAAGATTTCTTTCTCTCTCTCTCTCTCTCTCTCTCTCTCTCTCTCTCTTTCTATCTCTACCTCTCGTACTTCAACACTGTTTCCAAATCTTCCTTCAATCAAGCAATTATAACTCTCTCAGGCACCTGGGAAAATAAATAAAAACAAAATAATAATTAAAATTATTATTATTTCTCACATAATTATTTCTCAAAAGTATCGACAAAACTAAGGCAGACCTCAATTGAATACACTCGAGCCATCGCATCAGTGTTGTTAGTATGGTAAAATATACTATTAAAAGTTAGTATGTCAGACAACTTGTTCTAACATATAATCTCAGTTAATACAAAGGTTATTTGGTTTATAAAAGCGATAGTAATTATGTAGTAACATTACATTATAGTAGTATTATACTCTCAATGAATTTTCTATTTAGCAAGTGTTAGTAATGTAACAAATTTTTTTTTTGGTCAACCAATCAAATCTGTCTTTGTAACTATGGTGCGAGCGGGTAAAATAATTTTTTATCTTTTCGTTAATTTTGATCGAATCGGCGGTTTTATTGGCTCTTGAAAGTAAATAATCAAAAATTCTGATTGAATCAGTCAATCGATTTACTGATTGATTGATTGTTTAATTGAATGATTGATTAATCAATTAGTTAATCAACTGATTGACAATCAAGTTGAAGCAGAAATAAAACGTGCAATCGCTGTATTTAAAAATCAATTAATCAAATCGTTTAATTGATTGATTGATTGATGATTTGCCATAAACTGGTTGAATGATTGAACGTTTGATTGGTTGAATGATATTATGAAATAATTGATTGATTGATCGAAACCAACCAACCAATCAATCAAAATACGTTGCATCTCTCTTTACTTTGCACAGGACTTCTCGAACCTTCTTCCTCGCTTCTGACACCTCAATGTGACTCTCCAACTGTTCAGAAAGATGAAGATGATGATGAAGATGATGATGAAAATGATGAGGATGATGAGATGAGAATGAAGATGATGAGGATGAAGATAATGAGGATGAAGATAATGAGAATAAAGGTTGTGAGTGTGATGATGAAGATGACGATGATGATGAAGATGACGATGTTGATGATGGTGATTGTGATCGTAAAGATAATGGTGGTGATAGTAATTGCAATGAGGAAGATGGTGATGTTGATGATGAAATTTATTTAAAGATTATCTGACTACAACGATGACGTGACGTCATCCTGTTTGCTTACGTAAAAAAAACAACAAAACAGCTATCATCATCTCTTCCAGAATAATCACAGACTATCATCGTCACCATCATCATCATCTTTTTCCTCCTCATCATCATCACAGTCATAGCTATTACTTACCGGCTTGTCAAGACTGGGTGAGAGAGATGAGGCCTTGGAAATGTGGATGGATGATGGAGCGAGACTCTGGACTCTCCTCACCGTGTGCTGGTAGTGTTGGTGGTGGATCGGAGCTGCTGCTACTGGCTGTGGAGCTATCCAGGGAGAGTAGTCAGCTAAGATGGGGTAGTCAGTGTGGTTGCTGCTGCTGCTGCAGAATTTTAATAAAAGACGACAATAATGGAGAAGATTTTAGTTTCATAATTGCCAATCATCGTCGTCATCATCATTTACAAAATTATCGCCATCTCCATCATCAGCCTTTTAACATTCTTATCACAGTCATAATCATCATAATTAACCACATAACCATCATCTTCGTCATTATCAACACACATCGTCGTCATCATCTCGTCGTCATCATCAAAACTAACTATTCAAACGAGGATCCATCATTGATGACGCGCGTGTGGTAGGGAGGCGAAGGTCCCAAAGTAGCAGAAACTGGTGCTGCTCCTGCCGATGATGACGTCATAACCACCTGATTTCTGATTGGCTGGTGATACGATGCCACGATTGGGCTACTCAGATCATAAGAACTCTAAAAAATCATAGTGCTTTTTATTTATTTTTTTCTTTATTATTTATTCATTTTTTATTTGTCTATTAATTATTTATCTAATATTTATTTACCTATTATTTATTTATTTATTATCTATTTATTTATAATTCCGATTCAAATTTCTCGCTGTGTCATGGTTGAAATGGCAAAAAAATCCCGTGATGTATTTCTTGCACTACGGTTTTTCGTAGCCAGCTGTGAAGATGCACCGAAGAGAAACGTGCAAACAAAACATACGAAGATGGAAAGTGATTCCTACCCCGTAAAAATGAGTGGAGGCGGGCTTGTGGTGGTACCAGTGGCCCACGCTGTCGGGCAGACGATTCAGAGCAGATGATGACGTCAACAATGATGAGTAACGTGGCACGTGACGATGAACCACGTGACTTCTTCTGCTGACCACCGGGGCTGGCGGCAGCGGAGCGATGTGCAGCTGGGGGGTGTGAGACCTAGACCTCTGGAGATGGAAAGGTTTTAATTTGATCTCTTACTCAATCGCCTCAATTTTATTGTTAATTTGTTAACGTTACAAATTAAATTTACGATAAATGCAGCAGATAATCTTTGTAATATATGCTGTTAAATAGTTTCGTTCTAATTTTAATTTTCTTTCTCTGGCCAAACCATCCAACAAAAAACCATCTATCTAACTACAGCAGTAGCAGCAGCAGTAGCAGCAGTTGCAGCAGCGACAACAACAAAACCACAGCAAATCTCAACAAGCAGCCTACCAATGCACTGCCCAATCCACTGAGGCTACTGCCAAGAACCACATCCTCGACATGTCTGCCCGACAACTTGGTCACCGGAGTCTCCGTCAGGCACCTCACCAACTTCTCAGGGGGGTACAATGGCCTGTGGGCTGGGGCACTCTCCAGGACCTCGTAATAAGAGGGACTTTGGTAGGCTCGATGGTGGTAGTGGTAAGTAGCGGGGGTGTGATGTTGGTGGACGATGGGCTTGGGGCCTACAAAAGCAAAGTCACGGGGCCCACTGTACGAGTAGCTGCGGTGCTTTCTGGCAAATGAGGAGGGCTCGTCGTAGTGGGAGAGTCCAAGTTCTTGCTGGATGGTTTGTTGATAATAATGATGATGATAGTGGTGATGATGATGATGGTAGTGGTGGTGATGACGATGATGGTGATGAACACGACTACGCGGTAACAATGACAACAATGTTACGACTGTTACAATGCTGATGGGGCCTATTTTTAATAATTTGCTGATGAAAAAATGTTTTAATTAAAAAAGTGAGCAATTTTATTTACACTAAATAGACCACAAAAATTTAAATTAAATAGATAACAAAATAAACTAACAAACAAACGAGCAAACGAACAAACAAACAAGCAAACGAACAAACGAACGAACAAACGAACAAACGAACAAACAAAGGAAGGGACAAACAAACAAACAACGAATACCCACTTCAACTCTGTTAACCTCCCTTTGTGCCTGCCTGACCGCAGTATCAGCGGCCATCGATGCCCTCTTTGCATCACCCTGAAGGTAGGGGAGAGGTGTTTTGAAGGGGTACACATATCCAATTATTTAGACGAGTTGTTGGGTTAAAGTAGTTTTTTGACGAAAGGTGGTTTCATTTCATTCAAAAATACGTTCATATTTGTTTCAGTAGATTCATTCGTTCCTTCATTCATTTGTTCATTCATTTGTTAATTCATTAATTCATTTTTTTTATTTATTCATCCATTCATTTATCCATCTTTTCATTCTTACGTGACCTCAAATAAAATCAAAATTTTTAGATCAATATTTTATTGAAATGCTTGCAATATAAATTTCCAATTCTCCAATTCATCCGTTCACCATTAATCTACCTTCCTATCAAACCATCTATCTCTCAATTAATTAATTAATTCATTCATTCATTCATTCATTCATTCACTCACTCACTCACTCACTCACTCAATCACTCACTCACTCACTCACTCACTCATTCATCCATCCACTAATTACACTAACATAAGCCTGGTTACTTCTTCCAACCGGCATGCCATCGGCCAGCAAAACTTCAGAGTAGGAGGAAGGCGGCTGGCTGTATCCCCTTTGTGATGGATGGATGGATTAATGGATTAGTGAATAAATGAATGAATAAAGAAATGGATGGATGGATTATTGAATAAATAAATGAATAAAGAGATAGATGGATGAATAGTTGGATGAATAAATGAAAACACATATGCACACGTGTAAACGCGTGCTATTATAATCATTATTAATATCGAATTATTTGCATTTGTATATAATTAAATTAGAGCAAAGTTAACATGAACGAATAATCAGCATCATCACAATCATCATCATCTTAATCATCATCATCATCATCACCACCTGGAGTAAGAAGTGATGATGGGCAGCTCGTCACTCTCAAGGTGGACACGTCTGGACACGTGACTTGATGATGACGTCAGCGGGTAACCGTGGGACTGATGATGATGTTTTCTTATCGTTCTCGGGGGTAGGTTCAAGCTCGAGTCGGCAATCTGATGATGAAGGTGATGATAATGATGATAATGGTGGTGGTGGTGAATGACAGTATACAATTTTTCAATTTACACTTTCCGTATTTACTTTTTGAGATTTTTAATGCGAAATTTTACCATTTGATAAAAACTCTACCAATTTAGCATTGATGTCGTCAATGAAGTCGCGATCGTGACGTCTGGAGGCCTGGGTAAGAGAGTTCAAATCCCCCAAGGCCACGTCAGCCCTTTTCACGTGACTGAATTCGAAAGGTTCGTATGACCCTGATGTTTTGATTGGTTGATGGTTAGTTGGCTGGTTAGTTGGTCGGTTGGTTGGTTAATTAGTCATCCGATCAATCATCCATTCATCTATTTTTTCATTCATTAGTACATTCTCTCATTCATTTCAACCGACCAATAGGAACAGAGGTTGATCTGAAGCCACTTCTATATATCCTCACCATTTTTATTTCTGAATTGATATAGCGCTTTATAAATCAAAAATATAAATTATTAATATTATTATCGTTGTTATCCTTTTTTGTAATATACAGACGGAGCAAACTTCCTTCTCAGATCAAGCGCAATACAAAATTATGAATAAATTAATAAAATATTTAATAATTATTATGAATAAATTATTATAATAATTAGTAATTGTTATGAATAAATAAATATTTATTTATTTATTTAATTATTACTCAGAAATATTCCTTTAAAACACAC